GTTCCAACAATTTGAAAGGTCTCATCACGTCAAGCACATTCCTCTCAACTATGTCATTCTGTGAACTATGAGATTCATCCCATTCTAGTGATAACTCTTTTAACTCCTTAGACGTTAAATTGGCATCCCTTGCATCCTTAACACCATTGACATTCTCTAGTCTTGATATGTGTATTGCCCCTTGAATGTGTGATAGATTTTTCAACTCTCCTATTTTACGCCCACAATCTTTACCCACCATAAAATTTGACAATGTTTGGAGATTAATTAATTTACCTATATGTAGCGACATCTCTTCTGATGATGGAATATGCACGCCAGTCATGTCAAAATGTCTCAAGTTCACCAGCCTCCCCATGCTTAGAGGCAACTTCTGAAGTTGATGACAAAATCTCAAAAACAAGACTTGTAAATTGTAGAGAGTTACCACTGTATCAGGTAACCTTGTAATCCCAGAATTGGATAAATCAAGGTACCGCAAATGCTTTAGATCTCCAATGGAATCTGGTAGCTCATTTATTCCAATACTACACAAACGCAACTCATGCAAGCATTTTAACTTTGGCAACAAATCATGCATCAAGTACTTCGTTACATAGTGATATCCTTGTGGAAAAAATTCTAAGAATGTTCGTAAGCATTTGGCTTCATCGAAAGCTTTAAATTTTTTGATTCCATCATAACGGCTAGCAACATAAGATGCATGACGCGCTTTGTCCAAAATCTTGTTCTGCCTGCCACCCTCTAAATTACTTTCCAACCTAAAACATTTGTCCCCTGCAACATCTTGAGCCAAATCATTGATGAGGTCATGCATTATGAATTGTGATTTGTTACCACTTGACGGTTGAAAAAATGATCTTGACACCAATTCGTGAAAATACTCGTGGCCTAAATCTTCCATTTGGTCTCCACCTTTTGGTTGCTCAATTAAACCTTCAGCCATCCATAGCAAGACTAATTCCTTCTCCATGAATTCGTAGTCCTTTGGGATAATTGCACAGTAGGAAAAGCACCTCTTCAAATTGACAGGGAGATGAAGGTAGCTCAATTTCAATGCTGTGAGAATGCCACTTTCCTCATTCCATATATTGCTGTTCAGTATCTCTTTCCATTCATGTTCTTCTTGTTTACAGCATAATAAGCTGCCAAGTGCCCTTGCTGCCAAGGGTAAGCCTCTGCACCTGTTCTCAACAATTTTCTTACCAATTAATACCAATTCTGGGCATTCCATGATATTTCTGTTCTCAAATGCATGTTGGGCAAAGATTAACCAACAATCGTCATATGATAAGTTGTGCAAATTGTGATATTTATCCATTCCCATCTGCTTTGCAACACCTCTGTCTCGCGTTGTCACAATGATTTTACTTCCAGGTGCTCCAGCTCCAAATGGGGATCGTAACAAATTCCACCCATCACGTCCATAATCCCACACATCATCTAGGACAAGCAAAAACTTTTTCCCTGCCAAAGTTTTGCTAAGTTGAACTTGAACCTCATTTAAGTTACTTAAATTATATGAACCATGAGTGAACGAGTCGAGAATTGCCTTTGATATTCTCACAACTTCGAAGTCATCAGATACACATACCCATGCTTTTAGATTGAAACGATTTTCCAGTCGGTCGTCATTGTAAATCTGCTGAGCTAGTGTGGTCTTGCCGATCCCACCCATTCCTACAATAGGAATTACATCAAAAATTTTTCCACTAGGTGCATCCCCAAGTAGCAATTCGACAATTTGCTTGATGTCTTCATCTCTGCCATGAATGTGAGGCTCCCTCAAACATGTAGTTTGTGATCTCTGCCGTAAATCTGTAGACATCCTCCCAACAAGTCTTTTATCTAAACCAAGATCTTTTCCTTTTGTAGCAACTGCTTGTAATTGACTAGTAATCTCATTTAGCTTTGACCCAGTTTTTAAATTGAATGGAACAATAGAAGAGAGACGTGGAAACTTAGCTGGTCTTCTTCCCATCGTCGTCTCCTCCGCCATTAGCTTCCTTTCGAGAGCTTCAGTGGCAAAATCATCCAATAAGTCATCTGCATCATAAGCCAAAGGTTGAACCTCTTCTAGCCACTTTTTGATATCCTTGTCGTACACTTGTTTGTTCTCTGCATCAGCCAACAAAGTCTCTAAATCCTCTAATGCCTTCTTCAGATTCTGGATGCCAGTGCCAACGTCGGCTGTGCTCACTAAGTTGCTAAAATAAGAGTACAATTTCTTAACCATATCTTTTACGAGTGGAGAGATAAAGATCCCATATACATCCATGGTGTTTGTTCTGAAAGAAGGAAAGGTAATGAAACCAAGCAATACAGAGATCAAAAACAAGGTTGAACAACCTCTGCAAAGGTAAGAAAGGAAGTAATACAGGGATGGAAAAACAGGCTGAAGGAACAACTTTGGTAGGTAAAGGTTGTAAACTCAATACAAACCAAGCAATGCATAAATCAAAAACATGGTCAATTCATGAAGACCCACAAAGGGCACACTAGTAAATAACTGGTTTAATCATTCAATAATGGCGTCTCATCTCAGTGGCTGGCAATGACCCACTTTGCACTCATGTTGTTTGTTAGTGTCTGTACAATTCTTTTTCTGTGTTGAAGTTGCAATGTTTCGTATATTTGCAATCTCCCCTACTTTTTACTCGTTTATTCTTCAGTTTTTCTTTTTTTTGTTGGATTTTCCTTTTCAATGATTTTATTTTATTTTATTTTATTCTTTCAAAAAATTTTGAGAAGAAGAAAAAAAATGATGAATATGTTGAAGCAATTAATTATAGAGTCCATTTAATAAAATAAAATTAGAAGAAAAGAAAGGAATTAGAATAAATTATTTAATAAGAAAATAATAGATCTAATAATATGTAAAAGATATAATTGACTAATGATTAGATAAAGAAGAGAGAAATTTCTTAAATATTTCAATAGATTATCAAATCATTAAATTTGACAGGCAATAAGTCCCCGACCTTATTTTACTTTTTAATATAATCCTTTTTAATTCTTCCATGGAAGCACATGTAACTGTTTAATTTTTTTTTCCTATTTAAATCTTTAACTTTAACCATTATAAAAATTTATTTATAAACCTCATTTAGAGCACTTATAACCTAATAAATCCGCAAAATATTCTTATATTTCACCTAATACCATCCCTTTGAACTTATATTCTAATAGATCTTTTACTTGTTGACTTTTTTTATCGGTTGACTTTTTTTACTATTTGTTGAAATTTATATCTATCTGTTCAATTTTTTTTTTCTATTTGTTCAAATGTTTTTTCTATCTATTCAATTTTTTTTTGACTATTTGTCTTTCTTTTTTTTTTTTTTCTATTGGTTCAAATTGAAGGCCCATTTTCCTATCTGTTTGAAATTTCACAAACTTGTTTTCTATATGTTGGAATTATCCACAACAACAACAACAACAACACACCAACAGATAAAAAAAATAACAACACACCAACAGATAAAAAAATGACAACACAAAACAGATTAAAAAAAACAACAATTTTACAAATCTGAACAGCTAAATCCAACATATATTTGTTCAACAAAGAAAAAAAAAAGTTATCATTAGGGAGGCATGATCAATAGCAACAACAACAACAACAACAACAAAAAATTATCTGTAAAAACATATCTGTATTCTAGGGTTTTCGTTCAACAGATCTGTATTTTAGGTTATTTTGCAATTAAAATGTATTTGGTCTTATAGTCATCTTAAATGCCAAACTCTGAGTGGCCAAAGACCTCGCCAAAGCAGATCTAGCGATGTATATAGTCACATAGATCACATGAATACAAAGGTTGAACCCTAAACCCAAAATTATGGATTACTTGGATCCTTATACACATATGCTGATACACACACTACGGAATGCTCATCTGATGCGTCTATAATGCATCTATGCAGACATTTGGAGACCCTGCAAGGTAGGATTTAGTTGAGATTTGAGGATGGATAAGTCGAGATATTCAGCATTGACGGACCCCGGACAGAGCATTACTCACTAGAGTTGACTTCTATTGCCGGAGTTCGCCATAAACCACAAAGGGAGGAGTTGGTGCGTAGATTGATCGTCTTAGATTAAGGTTTCTCTACAGGTGAAGACCTAGAGTAGACTGGAGAACTCTGAAATGCTATGTACCAACGCCGGAGTGAACTAGCGCGATGTTATTTTTGTCGAGCTTTGAAGGATCTAGATCCACCACCACCGCCACTTTTTTCATCACCGTATAAGAGTACAACACTGACTCCACTAGACAGAACAGTTGTTGGTGGCGAAGAGTTGCTTCTAATCTTTTTCTTCAGGCCTTCCGCGATAGAGGACAACGGAAAAGGAAGAGGTGCTGCGGTAGTTCGCCAGTGGTGCGATGCAATTGAGAGATCGAGCAGTGACTCTGATGACTCCGGTGACTACAAGTGAGAGTTAGGGGCATGTTGGTCATTCTGTCCAAGCTTGTCCTTTTGGACAAAGTATTCTAGCACCCTGAACCTTTTGCTAAAAAAATTTGAAAATTAGACTTTTCGCCCAAGTGCCCTATAAAATATTGTATGTAAATATAGAAGATTATTATTCTTAGTGTTTTGTTTGCCTCAATGCGAGGGATTCACTTTATCAAAGATCTTCATTCACCATTATTTTACAATAGGCTTCTATCATAGAAGACCATTTTGAAGAGAAGATTAGTTGTATATATAAACTGATGATAAAGATGATGGTGGACTTGCAATAGAGATGTTGACAAACTGGTGATGAACAATCATTTTTTACTATTGTTATACTTAAACCGTAGTCTCCCAGTCGGTTTGTGTAGTCATCAATATTGTGTAGTTTATTCACTAGTATTATGCCAGAATTGATTATATACAGATTTTTCTAAAAATGTGCGTCAATATATGTATGAACTATTTGATATTTTTTATATATTGTTTGTCACTAAACTTGTTGGTTGAACAATTATTTTTATCACCATCGCACAATCAAAGTCAATTTTTTTTTTTTTTTTTTACATTATTCAATTTTATTTCATGTTTTCACATTGTAGTGTAAATGTTCATATTGGTATGAATTTAACTTTTTTAAGGCTAGTTGTATGTTAATTTAAACTGTAAACATTTCACGTTGCATTTTGATATAAATTTTATTTTTTCAAATATTAGTTGTATGTTTGTTGTTTTTGTTACTATACTTGTTGGTTAAACAATCATTTTTTGTTACTATTAAACAATCGAAATAGTCAATTTTTACTCCTCTTTTTTTTTTTTTTTTTTTCATGTTTTCACGTTCCAGTGTGAATGTTCACATTGGTATGCGTTTAGTTTTTTTTAACGGTACTTGTATGTTAATTATAAACTGTGAACATTCATATTGTATTTTGATATGAGTTTTATTTTTTAAAGGTTAGTTGTATGTTTGTTATTTATTGTGAACATTCACATTGTACTTCAATATATATTTTGTTTTGTCGAATGTTAGTTATATATTTGTTATTTACTGTGAATATTCACATTATATTTTCATTTTCGTTTAGATTTTTTGTTGCGTTATTTTTAAATTTTCACATTATAAAAAAATGTGAAAATACGATATTTATTAATCTTCATAATTTTAAAAGAGTAAGATTTTAAATATGATATTGATTAGCTTTCATGATTTTAGATTTACAATTCATCTTTCATATTTATAGTGCCTAACTCAAATGTGAATGTTCACACTTTTGATGTTGAATGTGGTTCGGAAAACAATGTTGAAGTAAGATAACTCAACTAGGATGATAACAGATGCCTGTCGAAATCGCTGTGAAATTTGCAGTAATAGGATTCCGCAATGAGACTGAAATATTGGTTTATTCGTAGCAACAAATTCATGTTTGGAGATTTTAGAAAGTTACCTTTCTAGTATATCATTAGTTAGGAGATTACAATTCGAACTCCAAAATATGTGTGATTGAAATATTTGAGTGTTTATATAATTACATGCCACAGGATTAAATGAGTTATAAGAAGAAAAAAAGAAAGTAAGAGTTTTTAGATAGATAAGTCCCAATACATGGGATTTATGAAAAAAAATTCCTCGTAATTTGTATATTCTTGTCATATATTTCAATATATATATATATTTTTACCCAGTGGTTATCATTTTCCTATTTGAAATTGTTCAAACCTATTATAAATTGAATAAATTGATAAAGTGGTATAATTATGATTTAAATTCTGTCTTCATTTAGAATTTAGGATTTTAGTGTTTGTGTTTATTTATTTATGGATAGGGAGGATTTTAGCTATTATTTAGTTTTTAATATTTGTCTTAATTCATAAAGTGGTAGTTGAAGGTGTTTTTCAAGAAAGTGTGGTGGCCGAAGGTGGTTACCGCCAGTAAGAGAAGGCAGGTGGTTAGTGATTGAGGGAGATGGTGATCGAAGGTGGTTGGCGAAGGAGGTCATTCAATGGTAGCTGATAGCAATGAGTAGGGATGGCAACAGAGCAAGTTTGGAGCAGGTTTGTCATCCTCTATCCCCACCCCCACCCTATATCATAGTGGGGCAAGGTGAAAGTGGGGGCGAGAGGCGAGTTAATTTTGTAACTTTACAAATAATTTTTTAAATAAAATTATAAATAATAATTTATAATTAACGAGAGTTAAAAGATGTATTATAATAAATAAATGAGTGAAAATGAATACTAACTATAATATTTTACTTTTATTATATTGAAAAAAAATTAAGGGAGATTTATTTATAAATCCCTTTGAGTAGATTTATAGCCCAATAAATCCGAAAGGTTTTATTGTGTTCTATCAAGTCCCATATATTTAGACTTGTATTCCACGAGGTCATTTTTTCCTGATTTATAATTTGTTTTGGACTATTATACTCTTTGTTCTATTTTGATGGTATGTATTATACACAATAAGATATATACGTTTTTTAGATTTTGTTATTTCTATGTTGGAAGTTTTGGTGATTAGATCTTGGATGAATCAATAAATACGTTTTTGTAGGAGTTTCATTTATACGTTAGTGGTGAGAAAACATTCGAATATTTTATTTTTTCATTGTTGTGATTCGAAACTCTATTTTTTTTTTTTTCGTTTTTACAGTTTTGAATTTCTATTTTCTTCCATTGTTGCAGTTTTCAAGTTCAGAATTGTTGGACGAGGGTTAGAGAACATTCAAATACTACATTCTTCCATTGTTGTAGTTCGAAACTCTATTTTCTTTCATTGTTGCAGTTTTGAAGCTTTATTTTCTTCCATTGTTGCGGTATGTAGGTATGCGTTTAGGTATGCCTTTGGTAGGGATTCACGTTCAATAATTGATTAAAGTTGGATTCGACCTTTTGTTTCGAGATGAATTGATATGGTATTATGTATCAGTGTGTGTATGCTTATAGAGTGAATATTTCAATGACTTTTTTTCTCCAATTTAACTATTATTTTAATATTAAAATGAATATTT